TCATTGCTGATTACAGTGTTCTGTTAATTAGAGCGCTTGATGATGACAATAATATTCCAAACAAATTTGGGAATTTTTTAAAATAGAACTCCATTTTGCGAAGTACGTATCTTTAAATCTTTAGAAACGTCTATTAAAATTTATTGAAATTTTATTAAACATTGAAATATTATTTATTGAAAATATTAAAGTCTTTTGCTGAGCTTTTCGAGGAGCAATATAACTAAATGACTGAGCTGTGTAGTATATTTTGGCCTGTAATTATTTTCACCAGAAGTTATAATAATTTTAACGTGATTTAAAATAAATTACCTCAGAAGTAAAACATTGTTCTTCAATTATTCTTTATCCTTTATTCACAAATGATTGTGAAACAATAGTTGCGAATTGACAATAAACCTTTCTGAAATCATTCACCGATGTATGGAAGATGCATGGAAGATATTTATGAATAACCCTGCAGTTGCCCGTTTTTAGTAATATAATTTCTGGTAGAAAATTCTTGGTCTTGGCGTCTCAGGCTTTTTTGCCGAGATGTACCTACGCAGTGAACAATTCAATGTCTATAATTACTATTATTTTGGCTGATTTTAAATAAATATTGTTCGTTTAACTTTTTCGTTAGCATCGAATAGTTAAAATAACCTTGAATCTTTTATATATTTATAATTTCGAAAAATTTTTTCATTAGAAAGCGACAATGACTTAGGATACGAATGTTTTTCAAGATGATACACTTCAATAGTAATTAGGTAATTAATTTAAATATAAATTAAAAATTAATTAATTAATTTTAAATTAAAAAAAGATATCGTATTATACGTAGTGAACGGGACAAAAATCTCAGAATGCATAAGTTGTAATTTATGTACAAGGTATTCTCATTACATCAAGGCTTTCAGTTGCGGCAAGTTTTAGTTGGAGCGAAGACATGCAAAAATGTCGCTTGATAGCGCACATTTCATTAGTATAGAACGCATCCCGGACTACGAAAAGTTGATGTTAGTAGTTTGTTGTGGCTTCATTACGTAATGCACCAAAGTTGAAGTTCCAACCTGCTCCCGGCAAGCGGTTTGTATCAAGTATATACGTCGTAAATATTATATATTGTACATATTTAGCAAGTATATGTGCCCACCAAATCAAAAGTTTGAAATTTCATTAAATTCTTGTACAGAATTCATTCAGTTCATTGAGGTGTTCACATTGAGACTTTAATTGACGCATTGAGAATGAAAAATTTCTCGGAAATATAAGTAATATGATAATATGATATTAAGGACGGGAAATTAAGAGCTTAAAGTAAGTAGTGATCTCTGATTAAGGTAAGTTATAATTAAAGCTTATTGTAAATGACAATTAGTGATTAATGTAAGTGAAAATGATTTGGTGTTGCAAGTGAAAATAGTGATAAAATGTAAATGATTATAAGTGCTTATATTAAGTGATAATGGGAGATTAAAGTGAATTACTGTATATAATGAGGGATTACAACAAAGTATGAAGATAGATCAACATAAGTAGTGAAGAGAGATAAATAGGAGATACCCGTTGTAAATAAAGTCGACATTTCTTTTAATTTCTAAAATAAGTGACCTCAATCAGAGAGACTTCTAAATGATAAATATAGCAGTCCTAACATTTTAATACTATCTTTAATCTGATTCAAAAGCAATTTACTTGTTAAGGATAATGATTACGCTGATTAAATTATAAATAAGTTTCTTTTTTAACAATTATTTTTTATTTTCATGAATTTACCAGGAAGAAACATTCCTGTTTTGAATAAAATTTTAATCCCCCAATCAAAATTGTTTGTTTCAGTTTACTTTCTACCCAAATTCAAATTTCAAATTCTTATATTTTTTATCCCGAAACATACTTTATTTCACTTTATAACACAGCTCTGTTATATACACTCCCTCCTACCGGGCCAGACATGGGTCAGAATGACGAAGGCTAATTTGGAAAAAGTCTATTACAGTCATTTTGCTATTTTGACAATGAGTCACTCATTTTGTTATTTTGACAATGTCTCATTCATTTCACCGAATGTATAGATCCTTTCCCAATAATTTCCGACCATTGCGTAAATGCGTTCAACTGGACCGGTCGTCGCCATGCTCCGGTAGCGGCCGCAACTTAAGCGTTCGACTGGGCCCAAGAGGCCGGAATTTCACGGACTGTCAAGCCCAAGGTCTGCGGGGAATTCTTTAACAGGCCAATCATATTTCTCGGTCCGCGAGGCTTCAACGCAGCCTTATAAAAGACTCTCCGAGCAAGCGATACAGAATTGCCTAAATTGAGATGCTAGTCTAGAATTATTGCCATCGTTCACCGCAATTATGAAGCTTTTATGGCTCAAGAAAGTTTATGTCGATGGGAAAAATGGTCGATTATATTCAGTTGTTCAATCACGAATTGTTGACGATTAAATTCGAATAATATTGAAACGTTGAGAGAACAGAAATATATCCAGGAGTAAAATTTTTCAATAGAATGCAGAGAATTTCTCCCTAGAAATATACTCCTCTATTGATAAACAGTCACAAAAGACTGATGCAGTCAATAATATGTGCTCGAAATAATAGAGTAAACATTTAATTGGAAATTTTTACTGCACCAGAATTATGAATCTAAAAAATTTGTATCAAAATATTTTATATTTGTCATTCAAAATTGAGTAAAAATTCAGCGATCCAGGATTCTCGCGTGGCGCAACCTTCCGTGAACTTGTACATGAATATAAAAATCTTGTAATTTGAGAACATATCCCAAAAGGCGATGGTTTTTTCGCGAGCTCGCCGTGATATTCAATACGCCAAAGTGACTGCGCCGGACCAAACAAAATTCCGACCGTGACGTCCAGAATTTTTGACGGTAGATTGCAATCTCTCGTGATATTCGAAATGAAAGCGGATCGTAGAACTTCTCAATACGAACCATCGGATGTATGAAGGGACTCGATACATTGCCGAGCATTGTCAGTTAGCAAGCGGATGCGCTGGCGGACATTTGAATCAATCGAAAATAATTCTTTGATCTTTCATGAAAATGTCGAAGTATTAGATAAGAGTCGTCCGTGCAAGTGATAGATAATGCAAAGAAATAATAATTAGTATCATTCGGAAGGAAATTTGAAGAGCATTTTAGTTTTTTTGGTTGTCCGAAAATGTATTTGGTGCTTGTTGACGCAACCATTTTGTTTCATTGTATTGAACATTTCCCATGGACATATTGATCATTTACTTCGTGCATCACCGTATGTGTTGTTTAAACTTCTAAAAGCGCAGTTTCTATCAAAACCGTCATCAATTCTAACCCAGAGACGACTTTTTGAAACATTTTTTTCCACAAATGGACACATTTTATTATTGACTACCGAATACTGGTATAAAAATGAAGTCAATGCTCAACTGAATGAGCGAACAAGATCAAAATTCGAGCAAAATAAAAAAATATGTACCCTCTTTAATGTTTAACAAAGCGAATGAGTTTATAAATTTTTAGACAAGACAATATATTTCAATTCTATCATTGGAAGCAAACATGGACAAGCACCTTGAACTTTGCCCTCAAAAATATGCGATTTTAAAAAATTAATAATAATTTAATGCGATTAATAAAATTATTAATAATTTTAAATTAATAATAATTAAATAATAATAATCCTATCTTCTTTATTCACATAGGACTTTTCTATATTAACTAGATTTAGATAGGACTACATATATGAACTGTAACCGTTATATAATCAAGCACATATAGCAATAAAAACTGTCCGTGCTGAATGGCACTTACACATAAATACAAGGACAACAGGAAATACAAATATTAGATAGTATTTAATTTATTTTTGTGCTGGCTATGAAAATTCCTCGCGTGCTTGTGACTGTATACATGAAAATTAAACAATAATGAAGCTGCGGTGTATCAGTCCACTTGGTGATGTACACAATAATGAAGTTGCGGTGTATCAGTCCACTTGGCGATGTAAACAATAATGAAGTTGCGGTGTATCAGTCCACTTGGTGATGTACACAATAATGAAGTTGCGGTGTTTCAGTCCACTTGGCGATGTACACAATAATGAAGTTGCGGTGTATCAGTCCACATATGGTGATGTACACAATAATGAAGTTGCGGTGTTTCAGTCCACTTGGCGATGTACTTTTCAATGTGACTGTATGAGTTTTGTTACAACGATGTTCCTTGGACTTGGATAAAATATATGTAAAACCCTAATTCTAATTATTATTATTTTATTATTCATCATAAACAACGATTTATGATAAACATTTAATATAAATAATGATTTGGATAATCAGATCACAGGAACAATTCTTGTATTTATTATCAAGTTCATGTATTTGAAATCACGATGAGAAATTATCTTAAGTATTTTCTTGAGAACAAATAGCGGGCTACTAAAAAATAATCCGTTCCTTGTATTATGAAGTGAGACGCATTAATAATCATATCTCACACAGCCATGTCGTAAATTAGGTGTTAAAATAATCTACAGTCGATTATAGTACCACTTTTATTGAGTCTGATTATTGCGTTAAATATTGCTGTTGCTGTTCAGCGAATTAGAGTAAGTATAGAAATACGCGTTAGAAAATGTTATGATAATTGAAATGGAACTTTCAGTTTTATTGAAAATTTGTTATGTATGAAATCTTCTTGTAATGTTTCCTCATTTGTTAAAGAAAAAAAATGGCGTCGAAGAAATCATTCTATTAATGAGAAAGTCACTGTTATGGGAAGACACATATATCGCTCGAAGCAATTTCCCTTTAAAAAAGCTTGTATGTTGTTTGCTTGCTTAGAAAAATTGTGTATTATCTCATTATTTTTGTATAGTATTTTATATAGAATAAGTATTTTTGTATGGTATAATATTTTTGTATGGTATTGTATTTTTTATAGCATATTAAGTTGTGCAGTATATTTTTTATTGTATAGTATTTTTGTATAGTAAACAATTTTTTTCATACCTGATCGTCGATGTGAGTGCTGCCGTCGCGTCCACGATGCACCGCCCGCATGCGGTCCGCCAAAAGAAACCTGACGTGGACACGAGGCGGTTTGAATCGTGAGTTACAAGCACGTACATCATTAAAGCCATAAATATGTTTAATTATTTTCATTTAAATAATATATTTGCTTGTAATGATTGTGAAAATTAAGGTATTTTCTTGGTACAAGTTATTAATACCTAACCTTATTATGAGTTATTACCAAAGTGCACATTCCCTTTTTTATTTGAAAATTCTTCAAAGGAAAATTCTATTATCAATTCGACATCTCCAGAGAAACAACCGTTCAGAATTTCTAAACTTATCCACTGATTTAGATCGAGTTCGATGTCGATGAAGACATAAATTAAAAAAAGTATATCAAAAATATATTTCGTATTCAACGAAAAAATCCCAGTGCACGAATATATGTTCAAAAATACAAGGCTTATAATTATGGACTCAGCTCGAATTGGATGTCTTGAATTCATTATTTATGATTTCATTAGTTTTCATGAATTAATTATTCAATTAAGAAAATACGATGCAGTAATATCCGTTCATTTTATCAGGACCTATACTTTCAAAAAAGTTAAGAGATCGTAAGTTCATCAGCCAATCATTGACGGCCTTTCAAGCAAAGTTCACCAATCATAGATAAGAAAATAGAGCGTAAGTACTTACGGTCACTTAGCGAATTTTGAAAGTATGGTCCCAGGTCTACTTACTGATTCAACTCGAGTTCAACGTTGAAGACGACATGAATTGATAATTCAATTAAGAAATTATTATGACCTAATATTCGTTAAAATTATTTGTTCTACTTACTGATTCAACTCGAGTTCAACGTTGAAGACGTAGTTGAATGCCTTGATGCGGTAGCTCGTCCGGTGCATGTGGTTTGACTGCACAAAGTAATTAGAATGTCCATTAATTTCTGCATACAAAACATATATGGATGATTGAATCGTTAAAAATTTAGAATTCTAGAATTTATTTATATTTTCGGTGAGTGAGTAAGCCAAAACTACCATTTCACAATAAAACAAGATCAAATATTTTTATGTTAAATCATATAGTGCTTTTGGCTATTCATTAAGCCTTTTAAAGTTCTTTTTATTGTAGTTTGATTAGCAAACTAATTTTTTCTTCTTAGCAACTGAAAGTTTCAGTTGTAAATTCAGTTTTATTTTTGATTGATTCTGCCATTTACTAGATTTTTGGTGTAGGACAAAAATTTCAACCTTAAATCCTGCACATTAATTTAATATCACGTAACGCGGACGCCAGAATGCTACTCAGTTCAACTGATATCTCCTTGTTGAATATTCAAGTCATCACGAATAGAAAATTATTCTTTGCCTCTTGTCCTGCCCGATGTCCATGCAGCTGCATGGCTCGTGACATAACACTGCACTCGTATTACAATCAGTTTCGTCCAGCCGTCCTAAAATATTTTTTCCTGTTTTTGAAGTGTAATAGCAACGGTGGGATCGAGTAGTACCCGTAGATGGATAAATCCTAATCCTTAATACAAATTTTTTTTTCCTAGTGACATTGCCACCAGATTTTCGACGTGTTCCTGGTTATAGAACGCTGTTCTGAGCGGTATTTTTTGACCTTATATACGTGGCTTCCTAAGAAAATATCAAAATATATTCTTATTTATCTTAATGCTATTCGTGCCCATATTGCTACGGCAACATTCGAGCAAAGAATATTAACGGAAGTCACATTAACAGCTTATAGATTTCATTAATAGTTTGAAAGAACATTACTATAATCACTGAGATTCATTACACAGCAAAGACAATATGGAGTCAGGCTTCCGGTCCTTAGTGAACATTTTGACGCAGTCAATGAGTATCATTATTTTAATGCTATCATCATAGTCGATGTAACAGACGAATATGATCATCGCAGCAACAGGTGTTAATAATTATTGCAGTAAGTAAGAAGTAAGATTGCATTTTTTAATCATCTTCGTCACAATAAATAATCGTCGTAATGATAAAAGTCAGTAATCATGATTGTCGCCACAGCTGTAATCATTATTATACCGAACATTGCAATAACACCCAATAATTGCCCTAATCACGGCAGTCAGTAATGATGATCGTTAGACACTCAACTCTAATGAGCGAACAACAGCGATTTCAGTACAGGTTAGAAATTCTTATTTTTGTGTAGTTAAACTTCGCTATTGTTTGTCCCCGAGCATAGTCAAACTCTGGTAATTTCTTTGCAATTAAAAATATTTACAATTTCCGCAAAATATCATGTATAAAAGTTATTTGAATGTAACGAAACATTTTTTGCTGATTTTTCTTAATATATTTCCCAACGGAAAAGCTTATTTCCGTCGCGGCTCTAAATTTCATATGGAGTTTAAAATTAAGGTACGGAGCGGCGTCTTCTGTAAGCCTATGATTGTAGTACTGCACAGATGTTAATTGATCGACCAATTCTACAGTAATTGCATAGTAAATTAAATTAAGTGGTAAATATTATGCTTGCTATCACGAGAATACGGCTAGATGATTCGTGCATGAAACAGGAATTATAATTAAAATTTAAATACATTTTTATTATAATCATTCAAGAACATTAAAATTTTATATCAACCATATTATAATTATAATTTTAAAATATTTTAATTACAATTCAACCATATTATAATTTTGATTTATCCACTAAAATAATAATTCAGCCGTATATAATTATAATGTAACCATAGTATTTTGATATTAATTGAACGATATATAATTCTAGTTCAACCATATTCTCATCTTGCAAACGTGTGACCTTGACCTTTCAATCGATTTTATTTACACGTTTGATATATAATAAGGAGTTGAATTCTCATTAAGTCAAGCTTTGATGGCCAGAAAGTCTTTTTTCCTTCACAAGAATTTTCAGACGGCGTTTTATATGAAAGGAAAATATGTTTTTTATGGCATCAAAGCAGGGATGCTGGAATGCCGATGAAGTAAACATTTTATTTGCATTAATACGTTTTGAAGAGGTCAAAATATTCAAATTAGAAATTATGTTATCATATCACACTTAAAATTATTCATTACACTGTTTGCAAAATATTCGGTACGATTATTTCAACATGAGTGTCATGGCTAATAAACTATTCAAATTAGAAATTATGTAATCATATCAAACCGAAATTTATTCATTAAAATGTTTGCAAAATTTTTGAGCAATTATTCAAAACTGAGTTTTGGGGCTAATAAGCTTAAAATTTATCCGCTATGATAATAATATCACGTAAGAAATAAATTACATATTTTTGAGCCGTAGATGTGCTTATACGAAAGTGGGGTAAATGAGTTAGCAATCGAACCGCAAGTAAAATAATGAGTCTGATCTTTAGCCTGAAATGAGAAAAATTTGTCGGAATTCGAGCCGGAAATGAGAAAATTGAGCAAGAACTCGAGTCGAAAGTTGAAAATGTGAGCTAGAACTCAAGCCAAGAGTGAGAAAATAGATTCCGAACTCGAATCTAAATGAGTCGTCTCAAAATCATCATGTTTTTATTAGGTTGCTTCTTATCAAATATTTTTTGCTGCACTAAAAGATTATTGTTTTCAAAATCGATTTATACTGTTATTTTAGAGAAACGCGGAGACTAAACTTACTTATGAATATTTCATCATCAGTAATTTAGATTTTTCGAGTTTTCGGTTTGCTAACCAATACAAGGATGAGGGTAGACCTGCACTGAGGGTATGTAGCAGCATGGAATAGTGTGACACTCAGAGGGCACTCGTGACAACTTATGAGTTCCCTCAGACCCTCTCATTACAGGCCCTCAGGCGTCCCTCAACGGCACTCGTCACTGCGAGAGACAACAACTCTTATGGGCAGGGCAGAATAATGTCAACTAAGTTTGGCAAACACAAGAGGTTTCGCGAGGGATACTTTCGGCGAGTTAAAAAGTTGTTGCTGGATATACTTCCGGTGAGCTAAAGTGTCGTTGCTGGATATACTTCCGGTGAGCCAAAGTGTCGTGGCTGGATATACTTCCGGTGAGCCAAAGTGTCGTGGCTCTGTCTCTTATACACATCTAGATGTGTATAAGAGACAGGTCACATATATTCACGACGCCTATCGATAGAGAAAAGGCGCATATCCACACGACGTCACATATATTCACGACGCCTATCGATAGAGAAAAGGCGCATAACCACACGACGTCACTTATATTCACGACGCCTATCGCTTGAAGCCGTTGGCAGTTCGGGGTGCGTTATGCAAAGACCTTTACGATGCGCGACATCACCGCAAGTGCCGACTACATCGCGGGAAGAAGTGCCGACAATGTCATTGCAGCTGACCAGGGGCCATACTTTCAAAACTCGCTAAGTTAACGTAAGTAATTACGCTCTATTTTCTTGTCTATGATTGGTGGATTTTGCTTCAAATACCGTCGATTATTGGCTGATGAAATTACGATCACTCAACTTTTTTTTGAAAGTATGGCCCCAGCTCAACCGCTAAATTAACAACTGTTGAATCCGAAGTAAGAAAAGTGCGAAAGATTATTTATTAATGAATTTTTAATGTCGGGAAAAGTGTTTACATGGAAAGTGATGATGAATTTAATGTTTTTTTTTGCTTCGAGGTACCGTCCGCTTCAGTGTTAAAAAGAAATTAATGTCTTAGATCATAAAGTTATGGAATGCTGTTCCAAAGAATTATTTGATGCCTGTTAGGTCATTGCATGAAAGTTGGTGTAAAATAATCAAGGCATTTGAAAAACGCAATTGTGAAATTTCTTGCGGAAAGTTCAAGAGAAATAAAAATTTGAACGATGACAAACATATCCCTATGATGTTCAATAGTCTTTTTATGAATAAATAATAATTTCCCGGATTCATTAGAGTTTCAGGGCCTCCTCGAGAGACGAAAGAATATTAGGCTCACATGGATTTTTATCAATATATAAAATATAATTAATAATAAATATAATTAAAACTTGTATTATAGGTATTATTTTATTACTGTGTTAAAAATTTCTCATAAAAAATCAAACGATTCATCGACGATCTTTATGTAATTAGATGTTTTCGTAATCACATGTCGAAAAAAAATTAATTCAGTTTTAAATTTTTTTAACACGAATAGACAACAAGCTTTGGAAAGATCTAATACTGTCACAATCGTGGTTCGAATTCACCGTCTAATTCATCACTTCAATCTCATTCTCTAAAACTGCATCCGTAATCGTGTCCACATGTAACGATGAGAGACGTCGCGTGCGTCAATATTCCAGTGCCGTAATTAAGGTTTTTGTGATGTGAAAGTGTTTTAAATTTTGATCTTTGATGGGACTGGTCAATCTAATCTTGCGGCTACTGCAATGTAATGTGAATTTTCTCGCTTTGTAGACTTCTATTCAAGATTCATCATCAGCACACAAGTAAAAATTGTAAAATAGTAGCAATAAACGCTTAAAAATTTGTGTTAATTCCAAAAAACTATTTTATAAACATCTGAATGAAAAATTTTATGTTGCATTCGGAGATTTATCTAAGCGTTATATGTCTTCGTATCTTATAGAATAATTCTCCATTTCTGTCATTAACGCCTAGCAACATTAAAGTGATTACAATATTACAGAAATGTAACAATATTACATATATTTAAACTTCTGCTTCCAAATCATAGTTTCTCAAAATTTTCATAGATTACCAAAAACCCTACAGATGTACGAAAACCATACAACGGATCAATAACATAAATCACAAGAGTTGAAATTTAACTTTTAAAAATTCTGGAGAGACAGTATGACAGTGGAAACAAAACAAGCTAAAGAATTGAAGTGAAGACTAACAGGGAAGCTGAATGCAGTGTTCGCTGCAGAGCCTCCTGCAATTTAGATACGAACGCGATAACGACCGGCATTTGTTATAATCAGGGACTTTGCCTGAAAACAGCCTCAGTTTTCCCCGAATAGAAAAATAATCTCCTGAATATTCCTCGAATCAACGCTAGTAATCCTTGAATTCTCGAAGTCAGGTTTGAATGCAAGAAGTTCTCAGGTTGGGGCATCCGCTGCTGCAGAAACGTAAAGCTCCGAATACAAAAACTGTCCGTAGTCCTGTGAGTAACATATATAATAACCGGAAAGCACAAAGAAGTTTCTCAAAGGACTTACATTACAAATAAAGTTAATATTTAACCAAATTATCACTCCGATTAATTTTTTCTTCAAACTGGTGAAGAAAACTTTAAAAGTACATTTTGAGTTAGAGTGATTTAGAGTAACATTAAATATTGTCACATATGTTTTAAATTCAAGCTGCCGAAGCTAACTTATTACCAGAGCCTCTATCTAGTGCCGAATAACTTTATATTTTGTTTACAGACTGAGGTCTGCGAGTAAAGTGTGCACAGATGGCAATCTGAAACTGTACACCAAAAGAAGCCTCCAGAAACTCTTCTACTCCGTCGTGCCCACTTTGGGGATTGTCAAGATGTCGACCTGTGCGTCTTGACAAGTTAAGAGCTCTGCTATTTCATCTTCGTGAGCCACCATTAGTTCAGTATATGAAGCCTCATTTGCTTCAGTTCACTCACTTCAGTCCAACTCACTTCAATACATTTTAATTTCACTTAAATTTAAATTTCTCTTTAATTTTCATTACCAATAAAAGGAAAAACTTGAATCGATAATGGAAAAGTAACATCGCAGTTCTTTCTCTCTATTCATGCCCTGATTCGGTTCTATCTTGTATAAATCTACATTTTAATTTATTAATATTCTTGGGAGACTTTTTTTTTGCCTGATCTCCTCATTCCACAATTTATGATTAACTGTTAATTTCTTTGTTATAACAACAAAAACAAATAGCACGATGCTCCAAACTTTTCTGGTTTGCATGACACACTACTTTGCACAACTCTGACCATTTTCTGACTCTGACACAACGCCAGGTAATCCTTTCTTTTTTTCCCGAGATTTTTTTCACATTTTTTCCTATATTTGACTGTCCCAGATTTCTTGTCGCCATTAATTTGCGCACGTTTCGCACGCACCGTTTCACCGCGAACGCAACCTGAGTTCCGGACTGCATGGAGGCAAGCGCGCTGCGATCCGGTTTCGTGTGCCGGTGCTTTAACTTCGGTAGCTGGCAGAAAGTCTTGGCAATTGAATTGCGTCTTAGGTCGCATGGTTGAACGAGCGAGCTAAGAGCTCTAGAACATTACCAGTCATTCCGTTATCTGGAGGACTGAAGTCTTACGGCAAACCTACCGCCGCGTTTTGCAGTAAGGTACGTTCAGTTGAATGCTTCTATGTGAAATTTTGAGTCTCGAAGCAAGCTTTTATGCATTTTAAAAATGGTTTTTCATATATATGAGAGAAACAATAAGCATATTTTGGTTGGCTTTGTGAATATTGTTTTGGAGCTCTAAGCAAGCACAACTTAGAATTGTGCACGAGGCAGATGAATTAAAATAAAAAGGAAATTTGAATGCTGGAATTGCGAACAGATATTGAATTCGGGGCTGCTGGAAGAATAATTCATGCAATGTTAAGAAATTTCTGACCAATTTGAAAAAAATATATATTTAAAATTTCCGAAATAGTTTTGCTTGGGGAAGGTAAGCTTAGAATATCATCACAGATTTAACTCATTGAATTATCTATAAAGATTTACGTTATTGGATTGTTTAGGCCGGATAACTCCTGTACATCTTATCTAAATATATTCTAAATTACCGAATGAAACTTTCGCCTAGGAAATAACTACATAATATACTGGTTTAATGGTAATTTATTTAATTGGAATATTTCGAATATTTTTTCGTTATCAACAAGCACTTCGCAGTTTCGCTAGCATTAATTCAATGACTATCAATTGATTCAGGTAATAGATAATATTAATGTAATATTCATTACTGAAAACGATCTCATTGCTCAATTCCAAACTAAATTTAAATTTTTTAATGGCAGCCGAAGATGTTCACCAACATTAGTCACAAAATAATTTATTCAAAGTATAGTTACATTATTAAAACTCGTAATTTTTCTCTACGTTACAACCTCAAAATGAGTTTCGATGACGAAACTATAAGATTTTTCCAAATACTTCGAATTGTTCCTGTAATTTTTCTTCTGGAAATTGACATGATATAAGAGCTGCAAGCTTACGAAGGTTAAATCGCACATGGAAACATCTCAGTCATTATTTATTTTACGTGTTGTATATGCTATAAATCGTAACGGGTCCCACTGAATATAATTTGTTCGGAATTCGTCCATTATTCGAATTTTGCATTGTATATTTTTGTTTAACATTTACGGAAGTATAAACGCGGATGGTGAACTTTAAAGATATTGTTGCTCTGCGGAGAGACTTAAGTGAGCGATCTCGAATACTGCAAAAACAATCAATAGTGATTCGCTAGTACGTCAAATTTTTGTACATGATTTGATGGTATGCTTAGCACCATATTTTACGATGTGTTTAAAGATGAACTCCAGCCTATTTAATGTTTGATTTTTAATTTCCGGGACTGCAGTTGAAAGCATTAAGTCTTAGTATCCAGAAAATCCAAATAATTAAACTGAATTAGGCACTGTTTACAAGTAATAATTTGTTCCAATCTTGTCCCTTGTGCCAATTTTTCATGTAATCGGACTGTGGAACCTTGAACTGCATTATGTGCAATCTATTGAGTTCCTAAATATAATAAAATATTTATATCACATTAAATTTCGAATAAGATTTAGGCATTTGAAATCCTTAAATCAATGTAACCCAATCACCCGAATTTAATGTATCCCAATCACCCAGAAATAGTGTAAATATTTTTGCCACCTACACCAGGTAACCTTTTAGGTAAATTCAATTTGCTCTAATCACCCAGAAATACTATAAATATTTTTGCCACTTACACCGGATAATCCTTTTAAATTCACTGTGTCCTAATCACCCAGAAATACTATAAATATTTTTGCCACTTATACCGGGTAATCATTTTAAATTCAATGTCTTCCAATCACCAGAAATACTATGAATATTTTTGCCACTTACACCGGGTAATCCTTATAGATAAATTCACTGTGTCCTAATCACCCAGAAATACTATAAATATTTTTTCCACTTACACCAGGTAATCCTTTTAGTTAAATTCAATGTGTCCTAATCACCAGAAATACTATGAATATTTTTGCCACTTAAACCGGACAATCCTTTTAGTTAAATTCAATTTGTTCCAATTACCCAGAAATAATATGAATATTTTTGCCACTTACACCGGGTAATCCTTTTTATAGTTTCGAAGTGTCCCAATCACACAGAAATACTATAAATATTTTTACAAACAAGCTACGACAGAAGCACTGGGCCGCGACTTAGTTTCTGTGCGATGCAACTTACTTGGATGCTTCAGACTTGCGAAGATATTCGACGGCAGCTGTTGCTCGTATCGCTCGCAGTTCACACCATTGACTGGCAACTATCGTCTTCGGATATGATGGCGACAGTCGTCAACTTGATACCTCAAAGTTCTCAAGTTGTCGGTTTGCCGAGCTAAGTTTAACGGTGGCTTGCAAGATGCGTGGACATCCATGGCTTCGGTGATCTCAGTCAGTTTGGATGTCCGGCCATTCGCAGCAATATTGACGGTTTTGATCAAGATATTCGCCATGTCTATTGAGGTTAGCTAACAGTTTCAGGTCTGTAAAATTATTTTGTTGCGAGATTCACGAAAATTACGATTTAGATTCACGATTGAATCTTAGAGGTCCTAAGGTTCAATTCATGTACATCATTTTGATGCTAACTACTGATCAAATTACAATTTTTGAGGTAATAAATAAAATAACAGACTTAACAATCGTTTTATTTAAACTGCACCTAAGTTTGGGCGATTTATCTATCCTCACATCAAAATCAGTGAAGAGAGATTCATGGAAGGTTCAAAAACATTTGTTAACCAAACTATTTGATTTGAAATTGCTGGATGACACCGGATGGGTCGACCGTTTGCACGAACTGATTTTGAGAGTTTCATCGCGAAAATTTGAGTTCAATCGTAAATTATTACTTAAAATTTATCTGAAAATAATTTTGAAATCCTGATGGAGACGCTCATCTTTGATGGAGAGAACCTCGGATATCGACAGTCTTTTTATGTTTTAAGACATTGCATCAAGTTAACTTTTTTATTTACTATTTAAAATGTCTAATTTGTCTCATTTTTCCTAAATTAGCGTAATCACATTCTCTAATTTAGATTGAAGTTTCTCTTGTCTTTATTGTGCACTCAACCTTTTGAAAAAAAGTTACTTCAAAAGTTAGCTAGAAAATTAGTTAAATTTTCAAAACAGTTGAAAGCGTAGCACATAACTCAGCGCGGTAAACTTTCCCGTGAGTTGGTATCAACACATTCGTATAAGCGGAGCTAATTAACAAACTGTATCCTAAGCGAAGCTAATTAACCAACTGTATACTTTTTTCCATCCTAAGTGTCCGCGAACCATTCCAAACAACAGCCGCGGTCTGCATAAGTGCGCTCTCTCGACGATTGAGTTCCTTGATTACTTCGCGCTTTTTACGGAAGAGATTTGCGTTTTTCTGCTGAACTTGCCGAGGCTGTGTTACATTTACAGTGAGTTTTCTTCAGCAATGTTGCCTAAGATATTTTTGCCAGGCTTGAAATGCAGAGAATTCAGTGAATTCTGAAATCTTAGGCTGCTTACTGTATTTTTTTTTAATTAATATTATTTTATATAATCTCTCTCTGTATCTGTGATTGTCTGTAAAGTTTTAGTTGCTAGTTTACAATGAATAAATTTAATTTCGCGTTCAAATGAATTCTCTAAAAGATATATTTCTGCATATCCTTAAAGCGCTTTGTTTTGGAGAGTCTTATTTTGTCGTAACTTTATTTTCTGTATTTACTTTTATATTCAAATAGTCGAGTTTCAATAGAATCGAGCAATTTACAAATAGTGGCAGGCCTTCAATTACTTACAGATCATCAAGCCTTCATACATCAAATATGGACCCAAAAAATGCCGTATGACCCAACTCATTTTGGTCCAAATTATCATTTTAGAAATTCTGTTACTTCGTTCATGCATGAACCGTCTATGAAAATTGCTTAGAGCTCATTTGATTATGAATTCAAACTGTCTGTCATATTATCAAGGTATTTTTATTAGTGAAAAAATGAAGTTTTTTATGTGCTCATGGCAGGCACTTTTCACTTAGAACTTGAAAGCAACGAAAATAGCCAGCAAATTCATTATTTTTTATGTCACTAAAAAGTTTATGCCTAACCCTGTCAAAATTTAGCCGCGGCAGACGGTCTGGTTTCGGTTGTCAGTCTCGGATTAGAGATGATTCAGATGTGAAATGGCCGCATCTCATAATTAGCCGCTCAGTAGGAGCTATTTAGGGTAGTTTCATGCGAAAAAATATAAGGGTCAAATGACAGACGAAATCAGCGGCTGGCCAGGTCACCATTGGCTTACCCTGCTCAGTAGCTGGCCTGAGTTCTTATAGCGCGAGCGCGACTAGCCCC